AAAACTTTTACTTTCTCCAGGGGGAAATTAAAGAAAAGGCGGAGCTTATATTAATACATATACATATGCCTATAAATATTTATGTATGTATAAATAAAAACTTATGAATGTACACAAATCACTTTTCAGTAAAAGTATTTTGAAATGAATCCAACGAGTTGCAAGCAAATAAAGCTTTACGCCGCCCCAATCCGCGCAAAGATTCGCCACATTTATGCTTCATTAGTGCTTTGGCAACCGAACAAAGCTCTACTCATTATGAACAACAAAAGGGCCAGCCAAGTAAATGCTCACACAAACCAAGGTGATTTACTCGTATGCCCAAGTTTGTTGCTATTTGCTCTGCTGAATTGGAGCTATTTCACTTTGTCCAAAGGCATGTGTGCGTCTTGGCAATTATTGTGAATTTTGCAGAATTTCTCGAGAAAGTGCAGCATAACAAAGGTAGAAAAACGTCTTTGTCATTCAATTTTTCGCTTTTGTTGTGAGAACATTAATATTTATACACTTAAATAGACCCTCAACAATTTATTTTATTTAAGCGAATTATAACATCGCTAAAAAGCCAAATCAGCGAAAAAAAATACCGATCAAGGTTTTTCAACATAGGCGCATACAGTGCGTTTGAAAAATGTGTGTTTCATAAGAATACAGAAGATCATGGACGGCATCAAATTTTTACAATACATATACATACATATACATATATGGTGGAAATAGGCTTATTGTACTAAAATTTAATGGGCTATAAAACTACATGCCTAAAATATTCTGAATAAAACAGTTGAAATTTTTTTTAATTTTTTTTTTAATATTTAAACTTTTATTTGAGCAATTTTTGTTCGTTTTGTGTGAACTCTTAATTCTTTTCAACTACTCTTTATTTCATAACCTTTATTAATAGCAGCAGAAGAATCAATTTTCTGCAAAATCGCGACTTTCTCTGGACTTTGCACTAAAAAAAAAATCAATATGAACTAGTAAAAATTAAAAAATCGGGCTCGACAAATTTCCTCAAAATTATGAAATCGGCTGAAAAATTAAGGCTTTGGACTATTTTGAACAGTAAATTCCAGTTTGGCACCATTATGCGCCCTATGGCTTAATAGCGCCGGAACTTCTTTACAGTCCGTTACGATTTATTCTGATAGCCGAGCGATTAATGGCTCTATTCTGTATCAGTGAAAAATTCTTGTCACAGTTTTTTTGCGGAAAAATATATGGAAAAGTTTAAATTTGTCAGTTACAAAAGTTTTGTTGTCACCGATACAGAATTGGGCTATGATTCTCTACAGTGCAGCAATACCTCCTTGAAAGTGGCTGCCTTAAATGATCTAGCCGCGAAAGTGGCCATCAACGTGCCTGGCACGATCCAGAAAATAAAGGTCGCGCCATTCGCGGACCGCTAACCCTCTGTTCGTCGATTTGACAGCATCCACCCAATCGCTGACGTCATAATATACTTTTGTTTACATTCACTGTTGCCAACTTGATGCTTTTCGCACCAAATTTAGTGGGTATTCAAAACGCGAAAATTTTTGAATTTTGTGCTTGGTGCTTTTGTTTTGAGTTTGAAGACTTCAAATTAGAAAATCTTAAAAAAAATGGAAGCAGAATTTATAGCAATCGTAAGTGTGCTAAGCAATTTTACAAAAATTTAAACAAAATCATGGCACAGTGACAATCATAAGCGACAACGAAATATTTTTATTAATTTAAATCGGCATCCTTACAATAAAATTATGTATTCATATAAAGTCCATAAAATACACCAATAAAAATTTGGTACTTTTTCAAATTCAAAACTTGGCAATACTGCCTTTTGGTTGATGCTTCTTCTTTTTCTTGTCGAGCTCGTCTTGCTCTCTCATTCTGGTATATTTTGACGTCACGGCCAGTTGCTCTCAGCTCGATTGGCGCAATCTTGTATTCTATCATTCTTGGGTGCCTGGGCATCGTGAAATACCTAGAAATCTAGATCTGGCCAGGTATGAATGAAAACAGATCTAAATAAAAGTCGTATACGAATTGATTGCAGGATTTTTTACAGGATTTTACGATTTTTGTCTTTGCTGCAAGGACGAGGAGGAGGTACCACAGCCGCGCTTTGACAAGTTATTATTTTTAATAAATATCTCTTGCAGTGTTTGCCTGATCTCGACTCTGTGAACATATAGCGACCCTCAACACTCCGCTAATGTAAAAAGGTGGTTCCATCACACGGGGAACTGAGCGAAGAGGCAACCAACGTAACCTAACCTAATCCAACCTAACTATCTGCATTCATCCATAATATCTACATACTGTTTTCGCTCACTGTATGCCTTAAAATATTATAAAAAGGCTTTTGTTAGATTGGCTATATTGAATAGCTCGTCATTTGCGATATTTACGAGTGTAATTTTTGCATAATAAAGCAATTTGTTGTGCATTTCCTTGCTTATTTTTATATATGTTTTTAATTATTTGTTTACATTAAGCGTGCAGGGAGACAATAGCTACTTTTTATAAATTTTTGCATAAAGCTGTCGATGAAATCACTCAAACCTTCAGCAAACTCTTAAAAAATAATAGTAAATACATACATATATATATTTTCTATTCAGTTTTTCAAATTAAATGAACAATGCCAAATTCCGGCTTGTGTAAACCTGAAAATGCAAAATATATAGAGATGCTAATAAAAAATATCGTAAACATAACGGTTTCGAATGAAAAAATTGTTATAAACAAAAATATTTTACGTTGCGCGCTGCTAAAGTCTGTTCATAACAAATAGACACTAAAATTTATTTAAAAGTTGCAATATATATCTACTACTGGAGTGCTTTATTGAAATGGTTACTGTTAAAAGCTACATAAATTTAATAGAAGCCTAGCGAATGTCCAACGCTAATAAAATAAAAATGATCTTTAATACAAAACGCTCTGATATTTACATACATAAATGTATGTACATATGAGGCCTGCACAAAAAGATGAGGTGCCTTCAGAAAATGAGGGTAGTAAAAGACCGCATTTATTTTTTATAAATCCTTCTTCCTCATATCACTAAAATTTGTTTTTATAGTTAGGCCCTCATGGCCTCATATTAGATCGTTAAGCGAACCTCTTTCAGCATTAAATGAAATTATTTGAGAAATATAATTAAAATACAAAAAAAAACCTTGACGTTCTTAAATATTACGAGACAACATTTAAATGTGAATAAAAAATGGAGTAAAAAAACTAGAATCATTTTCACTTCAACAAATGCAAAAAGCGCACATGACCGCAAAGGCGGAAGCATCCAGCCTCATGAAAGCTATTAAAAATTCAATTAAATGCAATGCGGCTGCGAATAATTTTCACAATTTTCTTGTGTCACCGCGCAACAGACGAAATAACTACTAATTAAATACAAATCATAAAAGGTTACTCAATATTTGCTACAGCCGAAGCCGAAGCCGAAGCCAAAGCCGGGTTGGGTTAAGCGCATAGCTCCTGCTTCAGCTCCTCCGCTGCTAACACCACGCGACCAGTTCGTGAAGACATAACAAAATTAGGGCAAAATGCAAATATGCGACGCCGAACAGCTCGATGGGTAATGTGAAGCGCTCTGAATTCGGGCGGTGAATTGAAGCGCAGCGCACGGTGGCGCTAGTCATGTTGGACCGCGCGCGCAATGAAATCAAAATTTTAACAACTAAACCAGATGTGGCGGCAGCGCGCTCACTGGACTTCGCTGGCAGGCCATAACAGCTGTTTGGGCGGCGCGTATAGCGCAATCAGCCACGCCATGACAAGTGTCTTGCAATTCATTACAATTTCATTGCGATTCTCCTCGTTCGCTACGAATTTCGTTTCATTTTTATGTTTTCACGCAAGCAAACAAGCGCACGTCATGCAATACACGCTGATCATGTTGATGGCAAAGGAGGCACACACACTTACATATGTATGTACATTAGGGTGGTCCTTAAATGAAGGAAGCAAATTTTTACCTCAGATTTCCTAAGCCTAAACCGCTACTTCGAAGATATCACTTATCAATGGTTAGATTCCTCTATGGAGACTCAAAAATTAAAATTGTTTTTTTTTTTCATTTGATACCCAAAATCGATGTTATCAGTCGAAGATATCACTAATAAATTTTGGTCCCGATTGAAGCCTGTTAAGGCGTGTAGTACAGGGCTCAAAGTGCAGATTGCCCTATGAAGACGTCTGAACCCACTCCAGTCGGTACCAAAATTTAAATGTCATTGTAAATATATGTGATGTTTGGTAGTATCGATTTTGGTAATTAGAGGAAAAAAAAAATATTTTAGTTTTTTTGGGTCCTCTATAGAGGAATTTGTATTTTGCTCCCTGCGCGACGCGCCTTAATCGGCTCCAATCGGGACCGAAATTTACATGTGATATCTGTGATCGTGGTATTACCGAATGAGGGGGGGCGAGACCGAAAAAAATCGTGCATTTAATTTTTTTAAGCACCACCCTAATGTACATATGTATTGTATGTACACAAATTTTAAAATATTTGAGTATTTGTGCGCATATTTCGCAAATGCAGCTGTGGTGCAAGTTTCGTTATGCGGCCGGTGTGAATTTCGTCACACGAAATGGTAAAATGTGGCGGTTGAGTGACGCGTGTTAGGCGCACTCAATTCAACTCTGATTAGATGAAATATTTCGCACGCATTGCAGTTTGCGAAACGCCTCCGTAAGTGAAGACGAATGTTGTCTTAAACGAAAGCCGAACCGTGCACTCCAATTTGAGAGTGGCTGATGGTGAGTGCGGCGGCTGCGCTTATTTACTCTCTTCTGCATTGGCATTTGCCTAACTTCGTTACATATACATATTTTCTATAAAAGTTTTCTTCTTTTTAAATTGCTTACATAATTGCCCAAAAAAAAACATAAAACAACAAAATAATAGACTGGTTACTTTTAAGAAAAATTCCAGCAATAAATTTACTTTACGATGCTAACATTCTGCCGTTCTCTTCTTTTTTTTATAGATTTTCAACTTCTCGTTTTGTAAGAGGTGAGTTGAACTACAACAAATTTGAGCGCATAACTACTAATTAGATTCAACTACAAAAGCACTTAAAGATGTCATAAAACACGTTATTACTCGTAAATTAGTTGCGATAAAAACGTCCAATCGTCGAATCGACTATTCGCCCAATGTCCGCGTCGCGTCAGACCCGCTTACACTGCGTTGGCCGCCGCAAGTTCGACGCTGTCCCGCTGTGTTGGCTAGCTGGCTGGCTGGCTGGCTGTTTAATATTCGAGATCGGTGATTTAGATTTGCGATCGCTGGTTGCTTACCGCTTGTTGTTGTTGCCGCTCATCTATTTGTCCTATTGGCTGACTGACTTTTTGTAAAGCACACAATAAAATACATTCGCAACAACAAAAACAAAAACCACGTATAGGTAGATGATATTAAATAAAAAAACAAGAGACTTATCGATGCATACATATGTATGTATGTACATACAAACATATATATACATATGTAGTAAATTTAAAATTCAAGGTCATTGTTTCACAGTCCGGTAAAAAATTGCGTTGTAAGGAAAAAATTATAAATGAGGAATATCGTGAAATATGGCAAAATCAGTCGTTGAATTTTAAGTACCTTATCTTATCGATTATACAACCCAATCGGCGACAGTTGTAAAATACAAATGAACTGAGCCGAAAGGAATCTATGGCGGTGTGAAATTGATGGGCATAGCGAATGGAATATTGAATGTGCCGTCACAGCACACAAAAACGGTGCATGCAGAAAGATCCGCTTCGCAAAATTTGCTTCTAAATTTAGCGACATTCCTGCTCTGCGTTTTGAATTTTTCTTCTGCTTTTGTTGCTTGAACTCTTCGTTAGAAAATGTCCACAAAAAAAAAGTTAAACATTTTTCCTATGTATTAGCAACCTTTTTTTTAAGTATTCACAAATTCCATGCTTCACACCTGAGTGTAAGGTAATTGTTTAAATTGGGAAGCAGGCTGCACTTGAAGCGGATTTAGCAAAACTACAAAAAATACTTCTTAGCAGATATATATACAAAAATTCTGCACACGAGCCGACGAGCCTCAGAGAAAACCGAGTAGAAATTACGGTAATAAAAAGGTACGAAATGCTCTACAGATGGCTCTCGGCTAAACCACGGCGGTAGATATTGTGATTCACTATGCTAATCTCTTACTCAATGTAGGCTCAGGCTGCATTAAATTAATGAAGAACGTCACTCACTCTCTTGCTATTGGGTCCACCTTTACAACGCAGCAACCAATTATTTATAAACGACAAAGCAGATTTTACAGTCTTTATCGCAACTAGTGTGTGCAGACTCGGGATTTCAAGCCTGTTAGGAGGTTTTCCGAATAAATCGGAATTTCTACCGGGTTTTCACCTACTTTATTGATATACCAGAATCTACATTTTTTTTTTTAGAAAACCTACATAACTACATGAACATTTTTAATAATTACAAGCTTTTATTGTTCTTCAATTGTGTGTAATCAAATCTTGCAATAAATTTTTTACCAACTTCCCGAAGAATTCTTGAAACATCAAACTTAGCTACGAGCACGCTGAGAATGCAATATGAAAGAGGAATTAATCCGCTAGGTGGCGCAGGTATCGAAATATTTGAGAAATAACTCCAACAAATTTGGCCACTAGGTGGTGCGGGGGTCGTTTTATTGCGGTAATAAAAGCTTGTCTTTAAAATAATTGTTTTTAAATTACTTGTCTTATATCTGATTACTGGGAAATTTTCACCCGCAGAAAATTATTTAAAAAATAAAAGCAAAACCAAAAGAAAACGTTCATTGTTTTTTTTTTGTGTAGCAGCTTACTAAATTCTGTCTAAATCAATGAATCGACTACATGTTGTCTTCATTCTCATCTAACGGCAGGCCAGAGTTGTGTCCAAGTATCGCAAGCCTCACGAAGCAACTCGAGCTCCTCGTCTGCGTTAGCTGACGTTGATCTCCGATGATAGAATTCAAGGTGTTAAGAGTTGACGAATGTGTTGATTGATTCTCGATAAATGGCCTGTCTATATTAGTCTATACTTGCATAGTCGGTATGGTTCAGCGGATGGTGTATTCTCATTCGGTTCTGCATGCTCGACTTTTTCTTGACAGAGGAAGATTAAGTTCGGTGAACCCCCATTAAGTGTGAATTATTGAAAACAAAACCGGCATATCTAGTTGGGAGCCGGTTTTTTTTCAATTTCCATTTTTTGAAGAACTCGAATAATTGAACACGCTCATTGTAACTCTGCCTCACCTTAAGTTTCTTTGTTGACTGACTTTTCCGACAGGCTGAAAGGATGATAAATTATGGAACGAATTAATTGAGACAATGAAAAACGACGCCGAAACCGGTTTGTTTCCAAACCAAACTTGACAAGGGATGACGGATATTCATTTCAAAATAAATTAGCTTAATTCTACTAAGCTTAGCTGAATCTAATCAAGCTTTACAGTTCCTCGGCTTCAATTCAGTAAGTGGCAAAAAAAAAACTTGCACGCACTTAATTTTGAACAATCTAAGTTCAAACATGATGTGAAAAATTTATGTAATTAAAAAGTAAAACTCAATTTCGATATTCTCTTATCCAATGAGATTTTCTATTATAATTGGAAACCGCTTACATTTTTTGCCTCAGGAAGCTACTATATATTTATGTACATATGTATGTATGTATGTACGTAGATGCAATTTTAATAGCATCAAAAAAAAATAAACAAAAATAACAACGTCTGATTGCCATAATAACGGCAATAATCGATTGCTAACAAAAGCCACTTTAACTACAAAACATAAAAATTTCAGTTGACCGTTGGGCAATTGGTGGCTCAAAATCGACGTTGCCACATACATACATACATACATACATACATGTAATGCATAGCGTCATTGCAGCTCGAGCCACTTCACTTCAATTCAATAGCTCATCTGATCATCAGCCAAACAACAACGTAAGCTGCTTGTGTGAAACGTATAATTTTATGAATCTCGTTTAGCTGCGGCACTTGCAACGGCCACAAAATACACAGCTGCAATAATTGCTGTTGTTTTAGTTGTTGCCGTTGTTTTCGTTGTTACTGTTATCGCTGTTGTAAATACTTTCTATCAGCGCACTTTTACGAGCGCAACCAAAACAATTTTCTAATAATAACAATAACAATGCAGACTATAATAAACAAAAACAAACAAACAGAGGCAACAGACAGAAACAGAGGCCACAAAAGATTCGTTTGCTGATTCCTACCGTTATTGCATGCTGCATGCAACGCGCCCGTTGCATTTGGCAACGGCTTTATGGCGGCACTGTGGCAGACTGTGGCGGAAAATGCGCCGTTATTGCAGTGCTTTTCTATAGGTGTTATTATTTACATTTCGCAGCAATCGCCCCATTCGTCTGCAACAGGTTGAAACTGTGCGGCGCAGCGGTACTTGGTTGTACGTGTTGCCGGTGATTGCGCCGCGGCATAAAGTACCGCACACGTAACTAAGCGGAAGCGCAGCGGCGCGCAAAAATGCGGCAATGCGGCACTGAAAAGTCGAAAAAAATTTGCAGCGCAAATCGATTTGGCCAAAGAGTCGCGCGGCGGCGTCAAATGTCGGTTAGTGGACGAGGAAGCCGAAATGTTTTTGCTGAATTTTTGGTGTTTAAATTGTTTTTTGTATTTTTTTTTTTGTAACTCGACCGCTGCACCGGGAAGTGGTCAGAAGTTAACCTGCCGCTGCCACTTTCATTCACTTTCTCGAATGCGCAACAAAGTATGTGTGTATGTATGCATGTTTGAAAATATATATATAAGTGCAAGATATTCCACTCCTCAACAAGTCGCCTGCTGCGGTGGAAATTCGTGTGGAAAACTGAGTGAAGAATGGAAAGTCGGCAAATTCGAAAGTGTGTCACTAATTACCGAAAATCCATTTTCAAAACTGGATTTATACAATTTCAGTATAAAAAATGCTTAAAACACACTTTATAGCTACGCGCCAACGAATTTCTGTAGCCCAGCCAATGCGAGGCGATTTTGTGCGCGCTACGTGCCACCGAAACCGGTAGGCCAACTTTTCCAGGCATGCAGTCCATGCCAACCATTGCGCCGCCTAACCACNTACGTGTTGCCGGTGATTGCGCCGCGGCATAAAGTACCGCACACGTAACTAAGCGGAAGCGCAGCGGCGCGCAAAAATGCGGCAATGCGGCACTGAAAAGTCGAAAAAAATTTGCAGCGCAAATCGATTTGGCCAAAGAGTCGCGCGGCGGCGTCAAATGTCGGTTAGTGGACGAGGAAGCCGAAATGTTTTTGCTGAATTTTTGGTGTTTAAATTTTTTTTTTGTTTTTTTTTGTAACTCGACCGCTGCACCGGGAAGTGGTCAGAAGTTAACCTGCCGCTGCCACTTTCATTCACTTTCTCGAATGCGCAACAAAGTATGTGTGTATGTATGCATGTTTGAAAATATATATATAAGTGCAAGATATTCCACTCCTCAACAAGTCGCCTGCTGCGGTGGAAATTCGTGTGGAAAACTGAGTGAAGAATGGAAAGTCGGCAAATTCGAAAGTGTGTCACTAATTACCGAAAATCCATTTTCAAAACTGGATTTATACAATTTCAGTATAAAAAATGCTTAAAACACACTTTATAGCTACGCGCCAACGAATTTCTGTAGCCCAGCCAATGCGAGGCGATTTTGTGCGCGCTACGTGCCACCGAAACCGGTAGGCCAACTTTTCCAGGCATGCAGTCCATGCCAACCATTGCGCCGCCTAACCACGCTGCCATTCGAAAAGCCAAGCGTCCATCAATCCTATGAGCCGGGCGACGCTTCAGTCATCTATCCAGCCAACCAACCAACCAAACAACTGGCCAAACACCCCATAGCGGCCGCACGTACGTGTAACGCAAATAAATGCAACACTTGTTGCTTGAGGGAGGGGAGTGCCAATGTTTGCGATTGGACGGACGCTGGCGATGGCGATGGACGACAAGGCGACGACGAGACGAGTCGGTTGGTTTTCAATTTTCAT